TACATTGCTAAGAGGGGGATCCCCGCTTACATTACTAATAGCGCTATCCATTACATTACTATAATTGCCATTGCATACTTTATCGATTAACAAGCCATTATCATCTACCACGTTACTACTGCAAACAGAAGCAACGCCGCTTACATTACTAGAGCAAGAAGCTCCATTGGAGACAGCAGAGGAGGAGCCCTGGCAATCCGGAGCACCCTCCTCAACGGAGGAAGAGGAAGCACCCGATAAGACAGACGGGCACGAAAGAACATCCCCTACTGACAGAGAGGACCCACCCACAGAGACCTGCTCACCACAAGGAGCCTCAACCGCCAGAGGCCCCCCACCTGCGGACTCACCCGGCTCGGAACCAGGGAGACCACGATTGGGCAACGGACCCCAGGCACGCCCACCATAAGAACCCGGACGATCAGGGCAGTCACGGGCCACATGCCCCTGCTGCCGGCAGTGAAAACATCTACCCTTGTTAGGGCACTTGGCAGCAACGTGACCCGCCTCCCTACACGCATCGCAAGTGACGGGCTGGCCCCTGTGCCAGATCTTACAGCGTACCCCCGCAATCACAAGGGACCGCGGGATGGTGGATGAGCGGACCATATTCACCACCCGGGTACCGGTGTGAATACCCGGGAGGCCAACCCACGTCTGATGAGAGATACCCTTGACCTCACCATACTCAGACAGAACCTTACGCACTGGGGCGTCATTGTTCTCATAGGGGAAATTGTACACAAGAACCTTCTCCACTGGAGGGGCAGGGGAGATCACCTCACACTCAACCCCACAAATCCGGATAAACTGCTGGTCCTGAAAATCCGCCTTAGCGGCTTCCCCACCCTCTTCAAACGTCACCCGAGCAATACGACTGGGGCACTGTTGAATCGCCACCACCTCAAACTGGGCCTCCTTTGCAAAAAAATCCCGAAGAGCCTTTGCAGTGTCCAAGATCGACGTACCCTCAGGGAAAACACCCAATTTAATGTCGATCGAACGAGTAAGAACGCGTGGGATAACCATCACGAAGGGAAAGCAGAAGGAAATAAGGGCCCAAAAAAGGGGCGCACCCTAGATCCTGTACTAACCCCAAACGGGATGGGTGGCCAAAGAAACAAAGAAAAAAAACCACCAAGTTTTCCCTCCCGGCAGGTACTCACTTGGGGCAGAAAGAACAAATCGCAGATGTACTTACGGAAATCCGGCCAAAAGAGGAACACAATAGCGAGGTCACCCTTCCAATTGGTAACTTGACTTCTCGATCCGAACCTGAAGAAAGGATTCGAGCAGATACTATAACGCAGGCAAAAACCCGCGTCAGGTAAGTATGCTTTTTCAGCGTCTGCCCTCGGTGAAAAAATCCACTTACCCCTAGGTCCTTGTGGTAGTGCTTTGCGCGCTTCAGAAAACGTAGGCCAGCGGCCGTTCCTGCCATTGTCTGTGGTCTGAATTATCATCCCTCTTTCACCTCTTCCCCCTCTAAGGGCGGGCAGGGCTCCTGTAAACATAAAAGAATGCTATACCGTTGACCTTGTTTTGGATTGAATGTGTCTTCCCCAGAGGGAAGTGGGCCGCACTTGGAGGTAGTGCTATACCGAGGCAACCCGTGGCTGAGACGAGGCAAGCCTCTTTTCCACAGCCCAGTTCCAAAAAAAATCAGTTTAATATATGAGCTGCTCAATGAGCAGCGTATCAGATATTACGCTGATAAGAACAGATTTTTAAGTTTTGAAATGGATTTATTTAGAATAAATCTGTATACAGAGTAAAAAGTGCGAAACGCACGTGGGCTTGGCCCTTACTAATTAATTCTAAATCGAAAGAAGTTCGAAAGTCCAACAAAACTAATTAATCGCTAATGAAGTCCAAGAAAGGTCCGTGCAAAGTCAGTACTTACATATAACACTAAACATTACAAGTTATTGATATTCCTTAGACTAATATACCTTAACTTAATGTACCTAAATAAATCTTAAGCTAACAGTTAACTAATGAACCTAAATAGTAACTAATATTACAATGCTCAATAACTAAGTCAATTAACGGAACTATTTACAGAAATATTTCCACCAATAGTTTGTAGGAATCGCCATCTAAACGGCAAAGACCCGGAGCTTCCCAAGCATCCTTAAAATCCGAGAGCGGAAGCCTAAAAAAATCACAAGCCACTCTGTTCTTGACATCACTGAGGATATAACGAATCATACCCTCAGGAGTGTCATTTCCGTTATGAAAGGTAGCTTTATTTCGAAACTTCCAGACACCGTACAGGATCGTTTTGATTAAGAAACGGGCTAACTGGGCTTTTTTAGGGCTGACGGGAGCCCAACGGAAAAAGAAGACACGAGTGCACGACGGCAAGAACGGAAACCCGAGAAGGGAAGAGAGGACAGGAGAGAAAAACGACCACACACGTTTCGCACGAACGCAGTTAAGGAAACAATGATCGATTGTCTCTTTACGAGAGCAAGACGCGCATTTGTCAGAATCGATATACCCCCAATTTCTTAGAGAGTCACGCACCTTAACGGCGCGGAGGACAATTAACCAAAGTATATCGTTCTTATAGTTTTCGGAAAACCCATCCCTCACAGAAACCCAGAAACGGTCGAGATCAAAATCTATCGGAAGAAAGGAAGACCAAAAACGATGGAGAATCGGGGAAGCAGAATTCTCTCTCAAGAGAGCTAAATAGCACTTCTTGGAAGAGAAAACAAAGTCTCGCCACTCTTGGCGGGAAACGATCCCGCGAAGGGAGGCGAGAATCGAAAAACATTTCTCGTAATAGGGTGTCAAATTTTGCGTACTCGGAGTGGAGTTGTCACGGAGAGAGCGCCACTCCGGCCGGCAGGAAGCAAGTCTAGAACCGAGAAAATATTTGGTTAGGAAAAAGGACTTTGACTCGCGATCATCGAGAATAGAAATGAGGGAAGCCAACTTAAGAGAATCACTTTTGATCTGAAAGTTAAAAATGCCGAGACCACCCTTCCCGAGGGACTGGTGGCAGGTCATCCGGCTAACCGTTTCAATGCGGGATCCCCACAGGAAAGGCCAGACTAAATTATTAATTCTTGAAATAACCCATTTAGGGACACACAAAACAGCAGAGAGATAAAGAAGTTTGCTAATTCCCAACACATTGATTATAAGTGATTTACCGACAAGGGAGAGGGAACGAGATTTCCAGAGATTAAGATGTTTCTCTAATTTCTCGAGTTTCGGTCGCCAATTATCGGCATCGGTATCGAGGCCAAAAACAACGCCTAGAATTTTCATTTTCGTCACCCACTTGAGGCCAAGCGGCTGGTCGCTGCGTGAACGCCATGCTCCCAGCCACGTGGCCTCAGTTTTTGCGATATTGAGACGAACTCCAGATCCACCCCCGTACACATTACTCATGTCAAACAAAACCTGAAGAGAACGATAGGACTTAACAATACAGGTCGTATCGTCAGCATAAACACCAACTTTATAACATAAACCTCGTGCGCTCGGAAGGAGAAAGCCCTCGATATCTGGATTATTTCGGATTTTACACGCTAGAGTTTCAACACAAAGAATGTACAACAAGGGAGACAGGGAATCGATAAAGGTATCGTGTCCGACAACCATTCATTCACAATAATGCGCATATTAGCGCCATTGTATAAGGTATTGATCCAAAAAAAAAGGATGGACCAAAACCGAAACGAGACAATAGATTTAACAAAAACGTGCGATTCACACGATCGAAGGCTTTCTCTTGGTCAAGGCTAATCAAAATACCGGTCTCATTAGTGCGATCGATGTAATCTAACACATCTCTAAGGATGTGCAAATTCGATGCAATTTTACGTCCGGGCAAGAGAAATCGGTCGCCAGTTTTTCAAGTTTTTACGGTCACCTTTTTTAAAGATGACGCGCGTATTACTTGTCTTCATAGATTCACACATCTCCCCAGCACGATAACAAGCATTAAGGACACGGCACAAGTACGGACCTTATCTCCATCAACTAAACGTTGACGAAGACGAATTAACTTATTCGTTAAAGATACTTGCTTTTTACGCAAACGCCTCCGTTTAGTACGCGAAAAGGCGATCGATTCCTCTTTGATGGACAGTTTCAAAAACTCCCACCAATCCTGAAGACTCGCGAAAGAGGGTAAAAAACGTAGATGAGAATCAGTCAATTTTTCAATAAAAGGACAGAAAACCTTATCTTTCAGAAGGGAATTATTAAAATTCCACACACCCGGGCCGCGTTTGGCCCCAGTGGGAATATCGAAAACAAGAGAAACAAAATCATGATCGGAAATTGGACAAGGTGAGATGTTGCATTCCACGCCGGGTGACAACAACTCCCTTGAGACTAAAAACTTGTCTAATCTACTCCTAATGGAGCGGGACGAATTGAACCACGTAAATTCCCTTGAGCCGGGATGCAAATTACGCCAAACATCAACAAGGGCAAAATCATTTTTCAACGACTCGTATTCTTTGTGAATAGAAATGTTTCCACCAAACTTATCAAGAGCATTATCGTAGCAATTAAAGTCCCCTCCGATGATGATTGCATCGGAAGGAATAAAAAAATTCGTGAAGAGAGTCAAAGAAAATCTTTCGCTCTGCAAGATTGGTGGGAGCGTAAATATTAACTAAATTAACATCTACATCGTTGCTCCTAATCGAAATACTGACAATACGACAGTGTGAGTCTTTTTTCCAAGAGACAATTTCATCTGAACATTTCGACGAAATCAAAGTGACCACACCACCCTGTCTACCAGAGGCCGGAGACCAAAAACAGCGGCCCAACCATCTACGAGACAGGGATTTAATAGGGGATTCAGAACAGACTAAAGTTTCTTGAACAAAACAAACATCACAGTTGGAAGACTCGATCAAATCAAACAAAAGATTATGAGTAAGGTAGTTAGCAAAGCCCCTTGCATTAACAGTTAGAAGCTTGAAAAGAAAACTCTTGGAAAAAAGACTCACGCATGATAACTAAACTCACTTATTAGCAGGTTTCTTCTTCCCTTTCTTTGTACGCTTTGGAGACGCGTCCGCCGATTTCCTCTTCAAATCGACGGTGACATTCATGTCGGAATCCAAGGGGTCGGGCGACGAAGGAGGATCGGGAACAGGTTGTGAAGGAAGAGAAGGCGTCGGTTTTGCAGTAACAGGTGAAGAGGAACGTCTGGAAGCGGTCGAGAGAGAGTCAGAAAGAAGAGCAGGAATTCGATGCCGCGGCGGATCGGGCACAGATTGAACTGAGTTTACGAGGCCATCGGAGTTAAGAATCGGAGAATCGGGCGAAGAAACCAAAGGCGAGTCGCTAGAGTCAGAGAGGACAGCATCGGGAGGAGAAGAACTTTCGTCAGCGGGCACATCAGCGGGGGGAGAAGTTTCAGAGAATAAAGGGGCCATACGACCATACGAGCAATCGCTCAAACCATCATCGTCGTCAGATTCCCCCGCGACATCGTCCTGCTCGTCGGTTGGAGAGACCGTCGAACAGAACCAAGAATACGTACATTTGATCCCCATATGGCCTTCCTCCTTACAGACACAGCACAACACAGGAGACGGACAATCACGGGCCAAAAGGCCGAGAAGCGATGCCGAAGCATGCCCTGGGTGAGGGGGTGGTCGAGGGATCCTTCCCACGGTTTATGGTGGATAGTAGCAGGTCGCCCCCACAAGCCCTTGCGAGTCCCGCAGACGGTCCCAGAGGCTGACCCGTTTGGTATCTCCTCACTGTAAGATTTTAAAGCCAGATACACACACCTACGGACCTAAAACATAGTATGATAGGTTTTTAGGACACGTTATGTCTCTAGGAACCCCTCCCTCCCCTCCCTAGGGAATAGTACTTCAAATCGATGCTCCTCAATGTGTTAACTGGGTGGAGGAAAATACATTAGGGTTAGGTAACGACTTCGGGGTTAGGGTAACCATTTCTTAGGGTTAGAGTATCAATTTCTTAGGGTTAGAGTAACGAAACTAGGGCTTTAGAATTTCAAATTCGCCTACACTCAAGGATGTGGCCGCTTTACAGCCTGAACCTGGCCAATAAGAAGCACAATTTCGACCCCGTTTCCTCGTCTACGACCATACCACAGGGAAAGCACCGGTTCTCGTCTGATTACCGACGTTAAGCCCTATCGGGCGGGGTTAGTACTTGGATGGGTGACCGCCTGGGAATACCCCGTGTTGTAGGCTTCATTTTTTGTCTTGCGAACATCTGTAAACGTTTTATCCCAATAAATAGCTCTCCATACACCACAATTTCACATAGAGAGCCGTAGGTGAGTGAGGAACAAAATCAAAGCAAAAAACGAGGGGGGGAAAACACCTTTTTGTCAAAAATCGGCCAGCTAATGGCGAAAACTCTAGTGCGATCGACTTTTCTTACAGAGCGCGCGCGAGCGAGTGAGCACGCGCGAGATGAACAGTTTATGATGTCAAATTCTACCTCTGTGATATCAAATCACTCGAAATAACGAACGAAAAAATGAATAGGAAAAAACGCACACTTCTGAGACGCAGTTTTAAGCCATCGTGACATGGCAAAACACTCGCACACTTCCAAGAGGAGGCGCGCGAAAAGCGGCACTGAAAGTCGACAATGGTTGGATTCAAACTGCAAACGAATCGGGAAAAAGGTTCGATACTTTTACTACTCTGCTAGTTTATTTCCTTCCCTCGTTCATTCGTTCACTCGCTTGCTCGCACAAAGGATAAACTAACGATAGCAATAGCATTTCTAAAAGCGGCTCCAGTGACAATAAAACCGCTCAAAAGGTTCAAAGTGTACTCACGGTCCAAGTCGAATGACCTTCTATGCTCGCTCGCTCGGTCGATCGGCCGGTTGGTTTCCTTTCATTTCCTTTCCCTTCGCGCGCATAGCACAGCACGGCACGGCACGCACAACCTGCAAATACAAACGAACAGGACTTTAGACACAATAGAGCAGACAGGCCTTGAACAAAAACAGCCAGCAAAGTTATGCACCGCCCCGAAACTCACCTTGTTTCCTTCCTCCAGTCTCTCCAATGCACTTCTACCGAAGGGGAAGGCAGCTTTTTCGCATTGCATTCTGGGTAATTCTGTTAAGATTTGTGCGGGAAACCGGTGCCCTGCAAATACAAGGTTTTTTTTTTTAAGTCTTCACGCAGGAAAAAATTTGGGAACAAACTTTATGAAATTAGATTCTTATTTCGCCGAAACAAACGTACTTATACTTGCTTACCTGCGAGAGACTTTTCGCGGTTTGCAAAGCTGGACCGAAATGTTTTACAGCGTTCTATTTGCTCTAAGCTCGGTTCTTTGAGCTAAAAGCGTCCATTTAAGCCACACTAGACTTAATGATGTCTTAGGCACTTTGCAAACAGCGAGTGTGTACTTTTGGTCGAAACGCTTCGACTTGAAAGGCGGTATTTTGCCTTGTTTTGAAAGAGCTCCGAAAGTGCATGCTTAACGACAGTGTAGAACCTCATGGAAAACATCAACGCTGCGCAAGCTCAGTTCTTTCAAACTAATTCGGTTCCATTCTCTGCTGAGTCCAGTCCCAGTACTACTCCAGCAAAAATTAGAGGGAAACGTGTTCCACACCACTGACACCTTCCAAAACCAACGGAGACTACGTTACAAACATTTCAATAACTTCATTCACACTTGATTGTTTTTCTTTTGTTTTTCTGACTGAAAAAACAAAACAAACAAATAGCAAAATAAATTGAACCATTGAATGTGTTTGTGGAATATGTACATAAAATACGACATGACAAGTTATCTTCTTCTGATTGGTGAAGAATAATTTGACAGCAGGCCAACTTGAAGTAGTATCATTACAATGCCAGTATTACAATAACTGCATATTTCATTGAGCCAAAAACCAAACAATCAAGTTGTTGTTATTGAATGTTAATATTCTTGGAACTTGACAAGTTGATGCAAAACAATTTAAATATTCCAATAAATCAGAGTAAATGAGAACACACTAACATTTTAACTTTTCCTCACAAGGCTGGCCAAAAACTTCTTCCTTCACATTAGGAACAATAATTATTTTGCCAGTGTAAGCTAAGAGGCAAGGAGGTTCTGTACCAACATGCAAAGGAGCCAATCACTTTAGGATCAAGGGAAATCTGTCTTACCAGTATAATTCTATAAAACACATTCTCCTATGAAGGAGTAACTCATAATTATACTTGGATGTGACAGTCATCATTAGAAAGTGACCTCAGTTCAGATTTTCCTATTTGCAGAGAAACCTTCATTCAAATCATTGTTTTTTTCATTTATTCTTCAGCCTAACCCTCAGACTCCCATCTATTTTTGTTGACTTGTGACTAATACATAATTTCTCCTTAAGTATCAATACAAAATAAGTAGAAAAAGGAATGAAAATAAACTGAAAAATAGCAATCAGACATTATTAGTTCACCAGGAGCAAATTCTGCCAAATTCTGTATGGTAGACAGTAAGGGGAATTACTAATGATAATTTCAAAGATCTTGAGATTAAAATGGTTAAAGAATGTCTCCCACAATACCCACATTGAAAGGTTTCTCTTGTTTTGGCCACTTGTGCATCTATGACTTGAATCAGTCTGCTGAAGGGTTTTCTTCTACTTCACTTTGCCTGAATTTGATTATTATCCGACATTTTCTCACTTTTTAAACTTACCTGTTCAAAAATAGCCCATTAATTCTTAAACTCTACAGAAGTAATTTCTGATACAACATCAAGTGGACAATTAATGAGAATAAACTAAAAAACATCAATTAGAGAATAATAATTTAATCCAAGACCAAATCATTCAAACTCGCATCCTGATAATTGTATGGCGGACAATAAGGAGAATTACCTATGAGATCTGGGAATAGAATGTATGATAGAATAATCAATTCAGGCCAAGTGAGTGTTAAAACTCTGTGCAATCGTAAATAAATGCCATGGATGAAATACAGAAGTAAGCAAGTGAGTAGCTAAGTAATTTCTTTCGCTTCAACATGATGAGAATAATGAAAGCATTACAGGCTTGAGGGGTCATCTGTAACTAGCTAGTACCTATGTAAATAACCATCCAGTAAAAGCAGATGAAATATATGTAATGAATAACACTTCAAAGTCAATACATGATGATGCAAAATGTACTTTTATTATTTAAGGTAATTTATCATTCAAAATCAGACATCTTCACTAAAACAGTGCAAATAAGCTGGTAAATCTGATTTCCCTAAATGTTGGATCAGTTTTTACCTTTCTATAAAACTGCTTAAAACTATAAGAGTCACTAAATTAACCCAAGACAAATTTCCACACAACAGCATCTCCATAACTGATACAATTTTTCATAAAATAGGTGGAAAATCATGGAACAACAGTCTTATTCTGTCTTCTTAACCCTTTCACTCCCATAGTGACCAAGAAAAAATTTCTCCTCACAATGTCTATACATTGACAAGACAAGCAGACAAGTGATAAGAATAAAGAAAAATGTAATCAGGGGATTAGTAGTTGATCAAATACCAAATTTTCCAAACTACCATCATAAGAATTGAATGGCAGACAGTACAGAGAATTACTATTGAGATCTTAGGACTGAAAGGGTTAAATTACATGGACTGTTGTGCCAAACAGCTACATATACCTTTTCACTAAATCCCAACTTCAAATCAAATTTTATACAAAACCACATCCAAAATCTGTGGCACTAATGTTTGGATATTACAAGGAGAGGTTACATGTTACTCACTTCTGGGAGTCTAACAGTTAAAATGTTGACCCATTCACAGAGAGAAGGAAATATTCAAGAACATTTAAAATTTTATCTCATACCTGCCTCTTATTAGGTTGTTGCACCATTAAACAGTTCTTGTATTTGCATTGCAGCCCTGACATCATGCAGGCACATTGAAACATTTTTTTGCAAATTTCTAAAATTAAAAAAAAAAACATCAGTACTAGCAAACATCATCCAAAGAATTCAAAATTTCTGACCAGAAAAACCTACAAAAAATAAACAAACAAAAGCACTGGCAATGATAAATTACCAAAAATGTTACTAACTTGAAAGGTGAACAATGAATACTATACCTCAAATACCTGAAAACACCTTCTAAAACTGCAAAACTGTTATATTCTGATTACCATGTGACAGCTAACTCCAGCATACAACTAAAAAATTGCAAAGAAACCTAGCACCACTGGAAATATGTCTGCTGCATACTACTGTCAGTACAAACTGACTTGATTGTAGTTCTCAAAAATGGTGTTCCTTTCTTATCACCTGAAAAGAGTCACTTTTGTGAGTAGTTGAGTAGTAACACTTAAAGTGTATAAATATTACAAAAGTCCTTAGGATTAAATCACATTCACTAAATACATTCCCAGACAACAATCATTCCATGCACACATACTTTTCATGCATACTTTTGCTAATTAACATTCAACTCATGTTTCTTGCACATATTCAGAACCAAGTACTCTGATATCCAGACTGGAGGCAAATTACATCATTTCCACCAACAATGTCCAGT